GTCACCATCTTTCGTTTCAAAAACCATAAATGAAATTGAATGAAAATTACTCGAACGAGATTGTTAAATATTCGATCAACTAATTCACATCGATAATTTTGTTTCTAAAATGATGTTCACTACCAATTTTCATAGAATTCATTAACAAAACGATCGAATCCTGAAGATTGTGTTTGTTTGAAGTGAAAATTCCATGAGAAGAATGTCCTTCAGATGAGGTTTTTTCATTTTCTGCGTGTGTGAACACAATTCCACGAGATTACGTTAGCAATGAATCATTTTCATTCGAAAAACGGTATTTCAAAGAAAGTAAATATGTTTAAACGAACATTCGTACCCACAGAGTGAAAAATAAACAGGGAAAGAAAACTTTACCCACAATTCAGATCAAAGGATTTTGCTAAAACGATGGAATAGCATGTTGGAAAGAAAAAACAAGGCGTAATTCATTGACACCCGCATATCTGGAGTATAAATATGGTGAAAGAAATCTTTATTTTTTCATTCCAATTGATTGGTGTTCAAACAAAATTGAAAAACAAAGCAGAAATGGGTGCTTCACGCAAATGGGGCTCATGTTCACGTGATTGTCTTTGTCGGTCAAAAATTTATTTTTTAGAACATAAAGGAATTCATCGTGTAGCATTCAATTTCAAACATTGGTGTGTTTATTTATACGTCCAATGTGAAATACATGGACAACAACGATGGACAGTTGAAAAAGAATTCAAGAAGGATCATGCTGCACAAGATAATCAATGTTTTTGGAATAATTGTGTTGTTATGTGGTGTGGGCATTATGATTCGTTTCTTTGTACAGAAAAAGCTCGATGCATAAGTAATCAACCATTGAATGTTGCATATAATGTGGCAATCACCTGGTCGAGCAATGGATATAATTGGATGAATGATAATTGTGCGACATTTGCCAACGATTATGATCGTCGATTACCGTTCTAAACACATTTTCAAAGAACTTTTTACAAATAATTTTTCTATTCCTATATCAAATGACATATTTTTACTAATCTTGAAATTGCGATATGATTTTTCACAATAAATAAATCAACTCAAATTTATCGGTAATTTTTAATTGATGTTTCGAAATAATACGAAGACTTTGATCTTTGCGACATTTAACAGACTGATGAAACCAAATGAAAAAAGGAAATTGGTCGATCGAAGTCATGCGGGTCTGTGAGGCACTATCGTGATAATGTGATGCATTATATTCTTTTCATCAATAAACGTTCATCAAATAAAAAAAGAGAAATGCCGTGACCCGGGATCGAACCAGGGACCTTCAGATCTTCAGTCTGACGCTCTCCCAACTGAGCTATCCCGGCAATACAAATCTTTTTCAAGAGATATCACATTCNTCCTGGATTTTCTAAGGGTCATCATAGAAAATAGCTAGAAAGATCGCTCATAAAATTTGCAACAACCGACGGGATTTTTTCTAGTCGGATTCCAATGCAATTCCGTTTCCAGGAATCCGATCGGATTTTGTCGGATGGTCGGATCCGGTAAGATCCGATCGGATCCAGCATCGGATTTGTTGACCTGGGTAGTCTATTTATATATTCGGTCAAAAGCTCTTTTTTTTTAATAAAAGAATGATATTTACAAAGAATTGGAAACATTATAGTTACTCGTTTCACATGAGAAAAAAAGAAAGAAAATAATTACCTATACAATTGAATATTAGTTATCAGAGTTCATAAAATCTTCATGGAAATGATTCAATTTCTTGAAAAATTCACTAAAATCGAATGATCACTTTATTAAAATGTTCTGTCATTTTTCTACAAATCACATCGTATTCTATTATTCAATTTTACAGAGATTCATGAGAATATAACTACACAAAATATTATTTCTCATATATTCTTCTTAATGCTTTGATCTAAACAAAGAACTGAATTTTTGTCACACATTTCTAAGGATATAGAGATAATTAGTGATGTCGTGATTGAAAATAAAACTGCGCTTTCTCATTATCCAGAAAGAAAAAATTTTCCGAGTAGAAAATCTATTGTCCAATGATTTTCAATTAAAATAATGGATTGTGTTAATAGATAATTAATGCAATTACGAAAGGGAGTTCAGAGATCAAACACCATTTTTTTCTATATTAACTGTGCCCTTTTTGACATAGTTTATATTTTTTTCTTCTAATATTGAAGTTCAAAAGGAGTTTCAACAAATGTCAGCGACTAGTGTGTTAATCAATCAAATAAATACAGCAACAACAACAGTAGTATCTAGTATTTTATCTATCAATTTTATCTTAGGTTCAGTAAGTTTAATATTCAATATAATTATTTTTACACGTCCAAAACTTCGTCAACAACCATGTTCAATTTATTTTCTAACATCATCATATTTGAATTTATTTGTGATTTATATTGTCTTACCTGTTCGAATTGTTTCAAGTAGTTTCAATGTAGATTTAGCAAATTATAATTTAATCGTATGTAAAATAGAATTCTTCCTATTTTTTGCTGTTCGAGCAACAGCATGTTGGGCTATTGTATTTGCATGTGTCGATCGATATTTTCATAGTTCATCACATGCAAAATTCCGCCGATTAAGTTCATTAAAAATAGCTAAAATAACAGTTATTATAGGAAGTATTATTGTCTCAATTTCTTATTCTCATATGCTTGTTTATTATATTATTAAAAGCGCAGCAAATCAATATGGAAATGTAATACCACTATGTACTGATCAAAATGGAAATTATGCGACATTTATTGCATTTTGGCATATGATGTTGTATTCACTGGGTCCAACAATCTCTATGTTTCTATTTGGATGTTTAACATTATACAATCTTCGAACACGTCGTCAAATAGTTCCATTGGGAAATGAAACTAATCGAAATATTCGTCGAACAGATAATCAACTGTTAAAAATGTTAGCAGGTCAAATATTTGTGATTGTTATTGCAAGATTACCATCTTCATTTGGTCGAATTTATATTTCATTAACACAAAATATACCAAAAGATACCTTAAGAATTGCACAAGAAAATCTTGCACTGAAAACTTTAAGTGCAGTAGCATATCTTACACATTCAACAACTTTTTATTTATATACTTTATCGGGAACTCTTTTTCGTAAAGAATTCTGGAAACTTATTCGAAAAATTTGCCATTTCAAAAATAACAATCGAAGAACTAAGACTACTCGTCAAACACAACAACTTGAAGAAGATAATAATGAAAATTAAAATAAATTGAAGATTTTACTTTATAAATAAATGTTGTTTCGTTATTGTTCGTCATTATCTATTGAATATATATGATTTGATGGTAATATAAAGAATAAAAATGTGATTATTGATAGAATATATAAAGTAAAATATCCTCAAAGATACAAGTAACGCTCGTCTAGCAACTCGCTCAGCTCTTTCTCGTAGAAATCGTGCTTTCAGATATTACACTTTAAAGCTATTATTGTGTATATTAATTTATTTTTATTGTAGATTAGATATTTTCACAAAAGCAACAATAGATATTTATG